TAAAGTTGTTTGAGCATCCATTACTGGATGATGAAGGTGATGACAAGGTGATCTTGCCGCATGTTGAAGACTTATGGTTTGATAGAGAGGAGCCGCTGAAGGAAGATTGCATTTTGGAGCGAAAGACGACCACGACGAGATGGGGAATGAAGGAGTCGTTTCTCATTGGACGTCAAGGTCAAGTTCCTAGCAAGGCTAAATGGTTCAACAAAGAAGGAGGGGCTCGCGAGTTTCCTCAGCTGAAGTTCTAACTTGAACGGGACTTTAAGTTCCTAAAGGGGGACCCATGATACGGGTGTATCTTCTCTTCAGAACTTAGCGATCCTCATGGGAGCTTGAGGATATATGATTCTCATGATAGCATGAGAATAGAGGTGTCAAATAGTACAAGGGAACGCAGGTTAGAGCGAGAAATGAGGCAGAGAATCGAAGAGTCAAAGTATCCAGATTTCAGCCTGTGAGTCGACTCATACATGTACATGAGTCGACTCATCAGGTTGAGTCGACTCATGCCTGTCATGAGTCGACTCACGAAACCAAGCTCAGTTTGCAGTTCGTCTCTGACCAGTCGACTCATCAGTTATGAGTCGACTCATATGAGGTCATGAGTCGACTCATCTCAGTCATGAGTTGACTCATTGTTGGTCTTGAGTTTCGTCCAGTTTCGGATGAGTCGACTCATCTCAGTCATGAGTCGACTCATCAGAGTTTTCCAGATTCGTTAAGGACTCTATTTACGCGTTTTCCTGTTTGGGTTGGGTTTGGTTATTTACCACTTTGCCACCCTCGTTTGTACACATATATAAGGGATTATTTTAGGGCTTAAAAGATCAGAGAGTTTAATCAAGAGAGATTAAAAATTATAATTGAGATTTGGAGAGCCTGTTCTTCAATTCTAGAGTGAGACTGTGAGAGATTGTAAATTGCATACTCATAATCTAGAGAATGTATTTTCCTTCGCTCAAAACCTGAGTTATTCTTGTGTTCTTATTGTTTTCTCCTCTACCCACCTTTGATAATTCCGCGATCAAAGGTGCTCGCACGACAACTCGTATCATCCTTGCAAAATGTGCTAGAGAATGAATGAAGGCGGATAAGAAGTTCAAAAAAACCGCTTATCATAGCGTCGCCTTTCATATAAATGAACAATTAGGTTCAACGTTCACTACCGAGAATGTGGAAAATCGTATGAAAACTATTCGCAATAGATTCTTGGACATGCAAAAATATCGTAACTTGAGCGGTGCCGGTTGGGATGATGCAAAGAAGATGGTGACTATGGATGAAGCTTGCTTTGATAGATGTTTAGAGGTATTTACAATTTTCTAGTGGTCATTTCTTATCAAATATTTCTAATTTTGTTCAATGTTGTCCATATATGTATTTGATATATGCCTTAAACTATGCAGGATAAGAGTATAAATAGTTCTAAACTTAGGGAATACATCAACAAGCCCATGAAACATTATGAAGACCTCGCAACTATTATTGGAGACGATATTGCTAGAGGAGATTATGCGATAGATGTGTTGTCACAATTTGGTGGTAGTGCACATTTTAATATTGGTGATGATAATGATGATATTAGTATGCCAAAGGAGAACACACCTAGCTATGTCTCTATAGATGAAGATGATATTCCACCACCGAAGGTTCCAACTATGCCCTCAAAATCCAATCCATCTTCTAGTGTGAACAAAGCTAAAAATGACGTGTCAAAGATGCGTAAAGGAAAGGAGGCTAGGTTTAGTGAGGACACGGTGCTTATGCGTGAGATAGTAAATATGGTAAAACAATTCACCTCATCTATGCGCATGGTGAGTATGCATTGGACCGAGAAGTTGGCAAAAGCTATATTTGCACATGATGATGAATTTGACATAGAAATTCTTAATAAGTTTTATCAACAATTGCATGAGAATGAATCACAAGCTAGGTTGTTTATGGGGAGGCCAACTATTATGCAAAAGAAGGCGTTGACTGAGTTCATGAAAAGTCAACCTCTTGATTAGAATGGTGGAAGGTTGGATTGCCTAGCTTTTGGGATATTTTTGTGAAACTAGCTAATTATAACAATGCTTGTATAATTATTTTTGTATGTAAATGAGCGTAATTATTTTTGGATGTAAATGAGCTAGATGATTGCTCATCATTTTGCCTAACAACTATGGTACATATATTAAACTTACATTTGTACAAAACTAATTCTACTATCTCTATCTTCATGCATCTCAATCGTGGCTTTACATGTTATATTATAAACTTGGTATGCTAATGCAAACTTGTTTGACAGGTTTACAAGTGGGGTTTTATAATGATTTCCCCTCGATGGATTAAAGTTAAAGAGGTATGCATATTTTGTGTTATGATGATGGGCTTCAATGTTGAAGATATGCAGCTAAAGTTTATACTAGTAATCAATTGGCGAGGTAATAAATGCAGCCAACATTGCTATTATAAACTTCATGGCGAGGCATATAATGAAGAAAAGAGCATTTTCTGAGTACATTTTCTATAATTTGTTTTAAGCTTTAGTTTGATTTCCATCTTGGGTTGTTTGGCCCTTGGAGCTCGGTTGTGTTTCAGTTGTGTTTCTGAGCACATTTTCTGAGCACATTGCTATTACAAACAACTATGACTTTGTTTCAGTTGTGTTTTTTGTGGTTTACATTGTGTACCTGACATGTTGCAATGGTTTCAGCTTGGCCCCATGTTGCTTGGCCCTTGGTCAGCATGGTTTCAACCTCCTCTCGGCCTTGGTTTTAGCTAATGGTTGTGTTGGTTTGCTGTTTCCATCTTGGTTGTTTGGTTTGTTGTTTCCATGTTGATGATTCATGTCCAGGCGTGTGCTTTCCTTGGTTGCAGCCTCTTGTTGCTTGGCCCTTGGACCCTAAATTGTTGTGTTGGCCTTTGGTTGGCCTTTGGTGAGTCTGGATTTGTGTTTCATTTCAGTTGTGTGCTTTCTTGTGGTTTAAGCTGTGTACCTGACATGTTGCTTGGCCTCATTTTCCTGTGTCAGATATCATACTCCCATTTTATTGGCTTTTTGGCCAAAACAAATAGCTTGGCCTTTGTTTCAGTTGTGCTTTTTTGTGGTTTCCATTGTGTACCTGACATGTTGCAATGGTTTCAGCTTGGCCTTTGTACAAGCTTGGCTCTTGTTAGCCTATTTTCATGCTTTATGTGCCTGGGTTGATCAGTTTTGTGAGTCTGAATTTGTGTTTCAGTTGGCCTTTGGTTTCAGTTGCTTGGTCTTTGGAGCTAAGTTGTTGTGTTGGCTTTTGGCGAGTCTAAATTTGTGTTCTAGTTGGCCTTGGTTTCAGCTCTTGGTTGTGTTGGTTTGCTGTTTCCATGTTGGTTGTTTGGTTTACTGTTTCCATGTTGATGATTCATGTTCAAGTGTGTGCTTTCCTTGGTTGCAGCCTCTTGTTGCTTGGCCCTTGGACCCTAAATTGTTGTGTTGGCCTTTGGTTGGCCATGGTTGCAATGGTTTCAGCTCTTGCTTGGCCTTTGGTTGGTCAGCTATGGTTGGCCTTCGGATTCAGTTGAAGCTTGGTCTTTATTTCAAATTTGTGCAGGTTTATGGTTGCAGCCTCTTGTTGCTTGGCCCTTGGACCCTAAATTGTTGTGTTGGCCTTTGGTTGGCCTTTGGTAAGTCTGGATTTGTGTTTTATTTCAGTTGTGTGCTTACAACCAGCTCTTGGGCTCGGTTGCTTGCCCCTGATTGCTTGCCTCTGGATTCTTGCCTCAGCTCTTGGCCTTGGTTGCTTGCCTTTGTGTTTCCGTTTTGTTGGTAAGCAGTCTGATTGCAATTCTATCGGCCCATGTGATTCAGTTGTGTGCATTTCTTGTTTGTGCATGATTCAGCCTGCTCTCGGCCTTGGTTTCAGCTCTTGCTTGGCCATTGGTTGGTTAGCTATGGCTGGCCTTCGGTTTTAGTTGATGCTTGGCCTTTATTTTTAATTTTGTGCAAGTTTTAAACTACTCTCTGCCTTGGTTTCAGCTCTTGGTATGCATATTTTGTTGGTCAGCTATGGTTGGCCTTTGGTTTCATGTTGATGCCTGACATTTGTTTCAATTTTGTGCATGGTTTCAACCTCCTCTCGGCCTTGATTTCAGCTCTTGGTTGTGTTGGTTTGATGTTTCCATGTTGGTTGTTTTGTTTGCTGTTTTCATGTTGATGATTCATGTTCAGGTGTGTGCTTTCCTTGGTTGCAGCCTCTTGTTGCTTGGCCCTTGGACCCTAAATTGTTGTGGTTTCCATGTTGGTTGGCCTTTGGTGAGTCTGGATTTGTGTTTCATTTCAGTTGTGTGCTTACAACTAGCTCTTGCGCTTGGTTGCTTGCCCCTGATTGCTTGGTTTTAAACTATTATGTGTTGTTGGTCAGCTATGGTTGGCCGTTGGTTTCATGTTGATGCTTGGCCTTTGTTTTAATTTTGTGCATGGTTTCAACCTGCTCTCGGCCTTGGTTTCAGCTCTTGGTTGGCCTTCGGTTGGTATGCATATTTTGTGTTATGATGATGTGCTATTTTTAAGATATGCAGCCAAAGTTTATAACAACAATATATTGGCGAGACAATATACTGCAGCCAACATTGCTATTTATAAACTTTATGACGAGACAGATAATGAAAAATTGGCCTTTTCTGAGCACAACTATGATGATGGGTGGTAATCTTACCATGGTGACCGCAATCAAGTTTTCTTGATTTTTAGTTTGAACCAAACACTAGAAAATGAGGAAATCTATTCACACATCAATTATTTTCTTCTTTTTTCAAGTTGAACCAAAACACTAGAAAATGATGGAAAGTACTTCCACTATATATTTTTGGGCGAAACAAACACAAGAATTATTTTTCAGGAAAGTGAAGAAAACACAAGAAAGTGAAGAAAAGTCATCTGTATAGAGGGAAGGAAAAGAACCAAACAGGCCCTAAACGCGGCTTTAGGGGTTGAAACAACCAATCACACCCTCTGACAAAATAACTATTTTCAATTCTTAGTCAAAACCAGGGTTTTCACCACTCTCTCCCTCTCTCTCTCTCTCTAACCCAACCCTCGTTCCCCTATTTTCTTCGTCACTTCACGGGGGGTGAGTCTCGACCTTGCCCTAATTTCCCCCGATCTCGATCCCCAAAATCCCAGTCAAACAAATCAATTGCCCGCCTCTCATTTCACCGATCCAGCATTTCTAGGGTTTCCGCTGCTCTGATCTCTGATTTCTTTTTTGGGGGGAGGAGATGAATCAGAGATTGAAGCAGCAGCAGCAGCAAGAGCAGCAAGCCCTAATGCAGCAAGCGATGCTACAGCAGCAGCAGTTGTATCATTCCAGCGTCATCGCCGCCGCCGCGATGTCTCAGGTTCGATTCTCGATCGATCTGTGGTGTTTGCGCTTGGATCGTGGTTGTGTTTTTGTTTAGGATCTGGGATTCGTTGTTTCGTTGATTATACTTGTGAAGTTTCTATCTTTTGTGGGAAATTATTCTTTAGGTCCTCTGAATCCTCTTCTTTTACTTTGGCTGGTTAAAAACACCAGTTTTGAGTACGTGTTATTTATTAGGGTTCATATAATTATTTTTGTGAACTTTGAATATAAGTTGAACCTTCACATTCTGTCTTGCTGGAAGAAGAAGAAAGAAAGAAAGAAAGAAAAAGAAGAACAAGAGAACTTATATATATTTTGTAACTTCTAGCACGTACTCTTTACTTTGTGTAGCTTTTTTTTAAAGGGTTTATTACACTCTTTAGTTTTTTTAAAAAAAAATTTAGAACCTAAAAGCATTTGTAGAGGTCTTCTGTTTAGCTTATATGATACATGAGCTCATTTCATGAATTAATTTCCCCCCATTTTTTATGAATACACACACAATTTATCTTTTACGGCATTTGTTATGAACCACAAGCAATCATTAACAGAAACATTAGGAAAAATCATCAACAGAAACATTGGGAAAACTCTAGCGAAGTAGTCTTTTCTTGAATAATTGGTGGACATTTCTGATTTCTCGTCGCTATATCATATTTATTTGTACTTGGTTTGGAAAAGATTGACTTGTGGTTAGTCACATATGTTTAAGAGAGTAAACATATCATTCCTACTGTCTGTAGGACGATAAAAATGTGTGCTTGCACTTAGTTTCTCACACTTTTAGTTCATCATCTATGCCTTAAGCTATTCTCATAATTTTGTACTTGAGCCTTTGCTGGAGCACTTAGTTTATAACTTTTTTCTTTTTGGCTTTGGCATCGATCTCTTTTGACCGAGATGTGTTATAAAACTTCACAGAGATATGCTGGGTTCAAGCTATGTTTTGGTTGCTATTGTCCATTGCTCTTAAGCTTTCTAGCTTACTGCTTTTCCTTGACATCAATTTGCTGGCCACCATATTATGGAATGTGGTATTCTATCTATCTTGTGCCTTCTTGATCCACACCTGCAAATTTACCGTCTGTCGCCATGTTATCCTGCAAGATGACTATTGATATTCTTTCATGTGGTCATATATAGGACAGCATTTTTTGTCAGAATAGAAAAGTGTGACTTTTTGCTCTTTGTTAGGTCTAGGATTTTTTGAAAGCAGAAGTTTGTGTCGGATATTTGTAGGACTTTTTTGCTTTCTAATTTCCATTGTCAGGAGGACTAAGTAGTGTAGTGATTTCTAGGTGTTTATTTTTATTTTCTTTTTCTTTCACTCATATTTTGCAGATGGAGCCTGTTCCAAGTGGCAACCTTCCCCCTGGATTTGACCCATCTACATGCCGCAGTGTGTGAGTGCTTTTAGCAGTTTTTTTCCCTTTGTAATTTTCCTTTTGATAGCTTTTTCTGTTACAGCTAGTTGTCACATGCTGTAAACAGGTTAAATTAATAGTATTATGAGAGAATCTGCAGGTCCAGTTTTGTAGTCCTGGAATGTTGCTAGCTGACTTCTTTTGTAGAAGTTCAATGTCATTTCCCCCCCTCATAACTAATTTCCGAGCAAGTGCAATGCATATCAAGTTTAATAAAAATCTATTGAAGTTTTAATATTTGATTATAGTGTGCTTATGGGGTTTATTCATCTATTTGAAGTATATGCTTATGGGATAGTAAACCCATCAAAGTATGGTTTTCAAGGTGGTAGTGGGGCATTGCAAAGTAGACATCAAATTTCAGCTGAGCACAAGCTAAAGAATGTAAAACATGTGATTTGAGGAGAGAAAGGGACCGTGTATCTCCTAACTCCTCTAGATATAGAATACCTCATTGAGATGAATTTAACTATCCTTTTGTTTATACTTACATGTGAGAAAGAAATAAGAAATTGATATCAACTATGCGAGAGTTAATTGAATAAAACGTAAAATTTGGATCATCTTTGAGTTGATGTACTTGTTTTGCCATGTTGTTGCTGTAGCTTTTCATGTCAGCTAATTGAAACTATTGATTTGGAAAAATTGATAGAGACTTTGGAAACACATATTCCACTATCTCATGCTAGATAGTATATTAGATTTCCTGTTCATTGTTTTTAGAGTTTCAAATATTGTTATTGCATTTTGGTTCTTATTGCTAGTCATTTTTTTCTTCTTATTGATTGATGGCTTTATGCTAACTAGGTATGTGGGCAATATACATCCAAATGTTACTGACAGTCTTCTAGCTCAAGTTTTCCAAAGTATTGGTCCACTTGAAGGATGCAAGCTTATACGGAAAGAGAAGGTTTGTTCACTCAATCATTTGCTTATTCTGTTGCTGTGCCTAACAAGTACCCTTTGGGGTGATTGTAGTGGCATTTTGTATCACTGCATTTTGTTTGATCCATGATCTGTGAGCAGGTTAAGTTACTGTATACTTTATGTTTGATCTTTGACTACTTGTCCGAAGCTAGTATGCAACTCTTATCAATGCCTGAATAAGACATAGAACCTATATAGTTACATTTGCAAAAAAAGTTGCAATGTTGTACTCATCACTTAGTTTGGTGCATATTGATAGGTGCTTGTATATTATAATACTTAAAATGCAAAGGCTAAATATGAAGCGCTGGCCTTCTAATGATGTGAGGTCTAGCTTCAGTTTTCCCCTCAAATATGTTACTGTTATAAAAATGGAAAAATGCACAAGCATTAAATTATAAATGCTATAATCTAGCAAGAGCTAGAGACATATTAGGGTTTTCACCTATTTCTTTATGTTGCACCTTTTAGCCTAACAGTGTAAATGAGTTCAAGTGAAGGACTCAATTCTGACGTGGTTCGTGGTTCGAGAAGCACATGCTTTATTTGCTCATCTCACATATTGAAGTATAAACCTCACGAGTCCAAATACCTTTTATGCACGGCATATTGTTTTCTATCCTGAAATGTGTTAATAAAAATACACAAATCTGTCTAATTACATATTAACTATTGATGACCACTATAGTATTTTATCAGCATAAAGAAGATGTTAGGAAATGGAAAATGCCACATCATGTATCTATTTTATGGAGTGACTTTTTTATACAAGTATTGCTGGAGTTCCCTTGGCTAAAACATTATGAAGATGCACAAATTTATCGTGTGTCGCAGAGGCTATGTATTCGATTATACAATGTATAGTCGTTGATGGCTGTTGACACTTCAAATCTTGACCCAAATCATGTTGAAAGAATGGATTTAATGTGTCAAGTGCTTGAAATGTTTCATTTTATGGATATAGACATTTCAAACCTTGACCTAAATCATTCATAATAATTGATGGATATTGACACTTCAAACCTTGACCTAAATCATGTTAAATAAATGTGTTGAGTGCTTGAAATGTTTCATTTTTATGGATATTGACATTTCAAACCTTGACCTAAATCATTCATAATAAACGATGGATATTGACACTTTAAACCTTGACCTAAATCATGTTAAAATAAATGTGTTGAGTGCTTGAATGTTTCATTTTTATGGGTGTTGAAATTTCAAACCTTGACCTAAATCATTCATAATAATTGATGGATATTGACACTTCAAACCTTGACCTAAATCATGTTAAAATAAATGTGTTGAGTGCTTGAAATGTTACAGTTTTGGGGGGCGCATCATTAGATGGAAACTTACATCGCCTCTGTAGGGATTTTACATGCATGCATTTGTTTAATTTGGTTATGCCCTTTTAGCTCATTATCTTGGTTCTTGCTAAATTCCTTATATAATCAAGTGTAAATAAATCAACACAATCAACTGAAAAGGGATTATTCGAGGTGCTTCTAGTATTGTTATTAGAGAATGTTGATGTTAATAATCACATATATCATGTAGTGGGGGTGAGATTGAGTAGGGGCCGCTGACTTCTTCGAATATTTGGTTTTTGGGTGAGTTGTTCTTCATTGCACGTGTAACAACTCGTAAGAGGACGAGGACTAGTTCCTCCATTGTTCTTCCGACGATCAAGTCAGTGATGTACTTGAGAGGGAAAGACTGTGTGAGTTCTCAAGTGCAGTATAGTGGAGAAAAATTCTGAGAAAATTACTTACCCTCGTATTGGGAATAATTTTCCTCTTATAG